AATATATAGTGATTTATAAACAGATTTTCACTTTGCGCCTGCACCTGACTCGCGTCAGACTGTGTAACTATTAGGTTGGAGTTAGAACACAAAGATACGACTGACTTAAGCACTGTTGGTGAGTTTGGCTTACACCAGTTATGAGCTTATTGTGGGTAAAATATAGACTACACAGATGAAACACATAAGGCTTATCATTTTCATAGAAGATTAAGGAAAAATCCCAATGCACTCAAGTACTTCTGCTAGAAGAGAAAAACTGACAGAAGAAACAAATGTGAAGCAAAGGTGACAAAAATAAGAAGGGGACTGACGGAGGAGGCAGGGAGGCGAGCCTATGTAAGAGGCTGCTGTTGGCTGCACGTATATCACAGCGTCACATTTGAGTCACAGATGGCATCCTCATCTTCTGTCTGTGTGAGGAAAGAGCATTTTACATCAGTCAGTGAGGACTCTTGCTGTGGTTCCACTCCACTGATGCCAGGGGAAGTTGATTTACCTCAGGAGCTGACTAACGAGGCATGGAGGGCTGTCCCTGCTAGATATACACACATACACACAAACACAGGTCTCGTGGCTTACCCCACAAACCCCACCCCCCTCGACTCTGGTTCGTTACCCTCTATTTACCTCTGTGTTAATCCTCTCCCCTTTCACATCCCCCCTCCTCCCCGCTCTCTTGCACGCTCTCTCTTTTGCTCCTCCCATCTCTTCCCTCAAAGCCAGCAGGCTGCTATTTGATCCAGGCTGCTTGTTACATGATCTCCTGGAATATAACGCTTCCACACTCCTCCATGGCTTTTCGAGTTGTTATCGTTTTGTGGTGCAGAGAGCACGGAAGGATGCCAGTGCCACGCTGAACCTTCATCATCTAACCTTTCCTTCTCCCTCCCCTCCTGTGATCTTAACCTGTCTATCTGTCCGTCTCCCTGAACTCCCCTCTCACCCGCTGCTGAAACCCCCTCACCCCGTCTCCTGATTAATGCTGCTGCCCCGTCGACAATGTTACCATGCATTAACTGGCTGCAGCCTTTCCTTGCCTTGATCTCCTCCACCTTGCTCACGCGAGGCCATAACTGTCCATCTAGCTGTTTGTGTCCAGACCACCACACTGTGGACTGCACCAGCAAAGGTCTAACTAGAGTCCCGGACTCCATCCCTCTGGACGTTCGACGTCTTCTGCTCTCCAATAACTGGATTCCCTGGATTCCCTCAGACTTCCTGGTCCTGTACAGCGATCTAGTCTACCTGGACCTGAGGAATAATTCCCTCTCCCAGCTGGAGCCAGGGACCCTGAGTACCTCCTCTAGATTAGTCTTCTTGGACCTGGGGAGCAACAACCTGACAGAAATTCCATCTGGGACATTTGGGGAGTCCAGGAGTCTGATCAAACTGCGACTAGGGAACAACCCCTACCTAAATATGGTAGGCAGGGATGCTTTCACTGGGTTGACTTCTTTGAGGGAGCTGGAGCTGGAGAGAAATGGTCTCACAGAGCTGGACGTCAGCATCCTGGAATCCCTGCCGTCCCTCCGGATGTTACGTCTTGAAGGCAACCCCTGGTTCTGCAACTGCCACTTTGCCAAACTGTTTGTATGGCTGATGGAGAACCGCCACAAGCTCCCAAAGGGTAAGCTGCTTTAAGTACAGACATGCAGTCTTTGTCCCATTCCAGAGCAGAGGAAATACAATAATTTCTTTGAGATACATTTACTCTTAAGATTTGATTGAACAGCTAGAGAAATCCAAAGGCTTGACAAAAACACATCAATATAAAAACAAATCTTGGTGGTTAAATAGATGAGACTGAGCGCAGGTCTGCATCTTTGTATTCAGAGGTCCACAAAACATTATCTCAATCTGTTAGTTCAAAAATGGCAGTGAATTAGAAGACAGTTACATCTTGTTTATCTGGTGCTAGAGTTGACATATTTTGGTACGATCAGAATCAGGATGGGCAGAGCTGTGGAACCAGACCGGTGGATGACACAAAGCTGTAGTGGCACACAGACATCATGGCAACTTGCAGATGCAGAGTGAAGCAGATTTACTTCAGTAGTAGTGTTTTCAGGCATACTTAGACTTAAGATAAACACAGGATTAAAATGCCTCTATTGCATAAAAAAATACACAAAAGAGTCAAAAATACAAAACACTGAAAACTAAAAAAAAACAATTTTGATAAGTGATTCATTGTTTTGAGACATTTTTGAAGAAAAATCTAAAAATTCTCTGATTTCAGGTTCTCAGATCTGAATAGTTTTACATATCACATTTTTAGTCCTCTATGACTGAATATCTTTGTGTTGTTGACAAAAAAGACATTTGAGGACGTCATCTTAAGCTTTGGGAAACACTGATAAACCTTTTTTGCCATTTTTTTTGCAAAGATGCAAGATTTTATGGACCAAACAATTAATCTAATAACTGAGAAAACAATTGACAGATTAATTGATAATTAAAATAATCGTTAGCTGCAGCCCTATGCTACAGTCAATTTACACTGTATTACCAAAGAAAATCTGTGCAGAAACATTATGGAGCTCTCCACATACTGACATATACTACATGTAATCAACTGTTGTTTTGCAATGTGAAGTAGCATGGGATCATGGGAGTTGTTGTCTCTACCATTTACCACATTTACCATTGCTGTCATTGCAGTCAGCTTCTCCCGGTTAGGATTCCTTTGGTGTTCATCGTTCAGGAGCTTGCTACCAGGAGCCCAATTATCCACAGAGGTCTCCTCCTCTCCAAAACAAACGGACCCGCTGATTAAAACTGCTAAAAACACTGAATAAAGCAGTTCCACCTTAAAAATCACTATTCCTCCCACACTGTTGGGCAGACAAAGGACATCCCAGAGGGGCTGTAAGACGAGCTGCTGCTAATGTTAGCTCAGCTTGTTTCTCTGATAACTAAAGACCCAGACATCCGATGACTAAAATCCTTCATCTGGTTCGAATCTAGAGTTAAAAAGCACCAAGATCTAAACAGTGGATGGTAAACATGGCTTCAGACTGGATAAAAAGTAAATGTATGATTTATGCTTCTGGCAGACAACCACAATGCTGATACATGCACAAAGGGGATATGACACTACTGACAAAGGTCAGTGGCCTACACTTCAAACTAGGACGCTGTAGGGTCAGTTTTGGGGCTTTTTTGGGGGGATGGGGGATTGTTGTCTGATTTCATGCTGGGTTTTCTAAAATTCTGTTACAATGTTTTTATGCATTTTTCTTTGCAAGGAAATTGCAGAAGTGAAGTTCAGAATTATGATGTTAAATGTGAGACGTTCACTTTGTACATTGGTTAAATTTGACATGATGTTCAGTTTTATTCCAACTACTTGAACAAACAAGCTATGCAAATTCAATTGCTAAAACTCTGCCATAATTGCTGTGTGTGCATCATTACTTCCTAAACACACCAGTGCTTGGAAGGGTGAGTTTGATTTATTTATTTTTTTTGTCCCTGTATTTTAGATTTTTTTCATGACCAACTGTGATTTTGAAAGTTTTGTCAACATTTACTAATTTTCTATTGTAATTTCTGGATTGTATATATTTTAATCTAGAATTGTGAGCAAGCTTGAAAAGTGCTTATTATTATTATTATTATTATTATTATTATTATTATTAAAATTTGCCTAAAACAGCTATACATGATGTGAAGTGTTTCTAATTTCTTTCTACACCATAAAAGCGTTAAAAAATAAATGTATATGTTCAGGGATGTATGAAGCTGGTGGCGAAAGGACAACACTATAAAGCGATGAATGTTTAGTAGTATAAGAACTACTACTTTCACCCCTGGATATGTTACATATGTAATGAAAGTTACAAATAATTTAATTCAATTCAACATTTATTTGTATAGCATAACAAAGGTTATTTTTTACATAGAGTCGACAGTTCCTACCATGAGCAAGCACTTGGCGACAGCAAAAAGGAAAAACTTTTTAAGAGACAAAAACCTCTGACAGACCCTGGTTCTACATGGATGACCAGACCTTAACTAAAGTCAACGTTTTTCTTGCTCACGTGAACAGATGGTCTCGTCCAGAAATTTTGCTAGAAGGTACCCACATTGTCTTAGTTTGAAGTGTAGGGCCACTGACCAAATTGCCATGTTCGATGACTGGGAAATGAGAATGGGTCTATTAATAACACTGCTATATTAACAACACAGTGTAGATTTTAGAATTCCACAAGCATACAATTGATTTGCAGAGAGGTTGGCTTTTTTTTTAACTTATAGATCACTTCAGTACAAAGAGTAACAGTGGAATGAACAAGCTCTGCTGGTTTTAAACTGGGCCGTTGTGGTTCCTGAGTTTTAAATAAGAATGAGGTAAAGAATTACAAGGCAACCTACGTACTATGAACACAATCTTGACTGTTTACATTGGTCAGGTCAAAGGTGAACGAGCAACATGCCCTATTCAGCACTACAGCACATCTGATGCTGTGACACCACAACACTGACACCAACTACTCATGTCTAGACTCCTTCCTCACAGCAAAAAGACATTTAATACACAACTACAGTACACACACACACACACATACACTGCAGTTAAATGAAATGGCTTTAGGAGTTGAGTGAACAAACAGAAGTTTCTGGGAGCAGAGACACTTTCAAAGGACGTTGTCTTTAGGCCTGGGATGATATGAAAATGTCGTGTCATGATTGTCTTGGCCAAAATAATTGCAATACATAATTATAATGTGATAATAATACAAATATACTTAAAACTAAAACATACCGGAATCGCTTTACTTTACATTTTGTTAAGAAACACATAGATTTACTGCATTTCCACACATCCAGTTTAACCTTTTTTGTGAGGGATACAACGGGCAAGTGGAGCCTCTAGCCATGGTGACAGGTTTAGGATTTTGAAATAGCTGGAAAGATGCAGACTCCCCCTTGTCCCCTTGTTCAAAATAAATCACGAAATCAATATAGGACTGTGTACTGGAGAGCTAGACAGCTTTTTTAAGTCAAGCCATGAGAGGATATTCATGATTATCACAATATTCAGAGTTGTCTTGCAGTAATTTTGTATCCGTGGTCCTGGCTCTGTATTTACCTGTGTGTGTGTGTGTGTGTGTGTGTGTAGGTGTGTGTGTGTGTAGTGTAGGTGTGTGTGTGTTTAGCTGTATGTCCCTGGTTCTGTGTTCCCATTTTGTTTTCATGTCAACATGTACAGTATATGTGCCCACCTATCATGCGCAGAGCACACACTGTGTTGCATGTATGCTTGTGCATGTATGTCTGTGTGTGTTTTATGTCCGTGTGCATGTGGTGCCCATATAAATTAATAAGTATATTGTACCTGTGTGTGTTTCTGCATGTGTCTTTGTTCACGGCTGTGGTGTAGAGGCAGAAGGTTGTTGGTTCGATCCCCGGCTCCTCCGCCACATGTCGAAGTATCCTTGAGCAAGATGCTGAACCCCTAATTGCTCCCGATGCATTGGTGTGTGAATGTGTATGAATGCATTCTGTTTGATGCATTCATACGATGGACTTTGCTGTGACTGTGTGAAAGGGTGAATGTGGCACGTAGTGTAAAAGCGCTTTGAGTGGTCGGATGACTAGAAAGGCTTTATATAAATACAGGTCCATTTACCATTTACCATCCTCCTGCCACATGTTGAAGTATCCTTGACAGATACTGAACCCCAAATTGCTCCTGGTGCATCTGTGTGTTTGAATGGTTTATGAATGCGTTGTATTCTGTTCGATGTTTCCATTCCTGTGGTGAAGGGTAATGTGGCAATGGTAAGTGTAAAAGTGCTTTGAGTGGTCAGAAGACCTAGGAAGAAAGTACAAAGGGGG